AGTTTGTTTTACTCCTAGTCTTTAGCGGCACTGGGTATCCATGATAGTCCATAGCCTTTCAAATAAATTTTGGAGGTTATTTAAAGAGAACTCTGGGTTATGTTTTGTTGCAATAAAGCAAAGTGTATCAGTATTGCAATACATAAATCAAGAGTTTAAACTCTCTTATTTGAAATACTGTCTGCTGCTTAAGTGAAACAGGACCAATCCTTCGCACATAAACATAACAGAAGTTAAACTGAATGTGTGAAGAAGGATTGGGCCAGTTTTGGGACTCTCAAGGTTTATGTCTGTACAAGTACCTATAATTCTTCCTTTCCTGCCTGTTTCCATCCCCGCTCCCTGCAGCAGCACTTCCCTGCCCTCTCTCCCTCTGCTAACGTGTTCCTGAGGACAAGGACGAGCCTGATCCAGAACTGGGCTTGTTTCTGTGGGAACGGACTGAGCTTCCCCTTGATGGTCTTGGAAAGTCCTGCTGCCTCCTACTCAAGTGGAAGGCCTCAGACAGCACCTGGGAGCTGTCAGCATCCACAAAAACCCGTCTCCAGCCCCTGTGGTAACAGCAAAAGCATCTCAGTGTGCACAATCAGAAGGCAGGGATGAACCTGTCGTCAGTAGCTGTGACTCTTTAGTACACCAGAAGGACAGAAAGATCTGAAAATCATGGCCAGTTCTTTAACTGGAAAGTACACACAGTATTGAAGTTGTGCAAGTACACACAGTGTGTGCAATGCACATTTTGAAGAAAAAAAAAAAAATCAGAGTAATTCCACTTCTGGCCATTGGTGTCTGAAGGAGGCCAATCCACCTCTGGAGGACTGAGGAGAGTCCCGTGTTTATTTCTTGTCTCCTCTCAAACAGCAAACCCCTCTCAGATTGATGCTATGCAGCAGAAAGGATAAACATTTAATAAAGGATCAGGGAGGTAACGCAAACACTAATAATAACCTAAATTGTCTCATAGCTGGGTTCCATGCCTACTTTTTACATTATGTATTTATATTTTATATCCACATGTGAAGACAAAATTTTGTTAGATTAGGCTGACAGACCTAGAATGAGTTTCTGAATGCAGCTTTTTCAAAAAGCTTACTTATAGTTCAACTCTCACTCCCATAAAATGATTTCTTCTCAAGCTATTAAAGAGGAAGAATTTCAATAATTTTCCAAATTGGCTGATGTAGTTTGACAGTTGCATGATCTTCTATTTCCAAAAGAAATTAGTCCCCAGAGAGTACATTGTTGTTTCCCTTTTGTATATTTATTTAACCCGATTTTTTTATGGGTAATGCCATGAAAAGTTGGAAATGCATATAACTCTTCTGTAAGACTATTATAAATGGATGCTTATCTCAGGCACTGAATATCTTTATTTCTTTAAATAGAAACACCAAGTCAAGCAACAGGAATAAACAGGAAGAGTAAGCCTGGACCAGTGACAGATTTTTCCAGTTGCTACAGCAAGATTTTTCATTTTGTTTTCTATTTTTTCTCCTTATACCAATTGTAGACAAGTTCCCCCATCTTGATTTCTGTGGGCCGAGGTGCTGCCTGCAGTCCGGCACGATTCCCGTGCTCACCACAAAAGCTAAAACCGCTCAGTCCAGGATGAAGCCTCTCTTTTGGAGCTCCACCAGGCTTTAACAGGCTGTGTCGGACACCACGACAGGCAGTAAATTCCCAAAGTCACTGCACCTTTGCGGACACCCTGACAGCATTTCTGCTTCCTAAATCCTGCCTAACTTGGCAGTGCTACGTATAGCTCTGCAGATGAAAATCAGCTCTGCAGGCTTTACCCGCGGACCCATGAGTGAGGCTGGGGCTGTGCCCGCAGGCAGGTGCTGCACAGAGCACGCACGACACCACACCAAGCTCCACGCGTGGAAGTTTTGGTGCCCTGCAGTCTCCAATTTCCACACACCAAAAATGCCAGGTACCCCTGCTGCTGCCTGATGGCCCAGTGGCATAACTGGCTCCCCACCTGGGACCATGGCTGGAAATAGCAGAAGAGCCCTGACCTGAAGGGGCAGATTATGTTTCCAAAGATCTTGACTCTGCCTCCCTGAGGCTACAGACATCTCTCTTCCTTTAGCGGCTCCAGTCTCAGCCATACGTGGAGAAAAGCAGTCAGCTCTGTCACCCGCTGCAGAAGATGTAAAACCTCCTTTCTCAGGGTGTCATTTTTATGGAGACTCATTCTACCATAAAGTCACCGAGAGCAGATCCAATGGCTGCAGACACAAAGCAAGGCTACTGTTCGCCACAAAAGGACACTCTCCTACGCAGCACTCCTTCATCACGTCTAACTCTACGCTGGATAAATCAAATGATGTCAAAACAGCAGGGTGACGCAATAGGATGATGTCACTGCAAAGCAAACCCCCCAACCAACCAACCCAGAATGTCATAGCACGGATTGAGAGTTTGTGAGCAGAGCCTGGTAAAGTTCATTCTAAAGCCCAGGTGCAAAGCTAAGTCTGGGTTTTCTATGTGGTCTAGAGAACCCTGCAGAAGTTGTTTTGATGACCTCATCCTGTGAGCCCTGGAGGCATACATACTAGGACATGGCACGAAATTCAGGATACGATAGATCTGCACAACTGGGACAAAAGGGGAGGTCTGTTTTTTAAACAGGGATTGTAACACAAGGACAAGTGTGTGGCCAGGTCATTGTGGGCTTTCCTCTGTGTTAACTGCTCTCTGCTTTAAATGCTGTTAGTCTATTATTCGGCATCTCTTTTTAACCAGAAAACTAAAACATAGGCAGTGGGTGCCAGTAGACTTCAGTGATACAGCTGGTAGGGATACACCTAGCAACTTTCATCTCTCAGAACCAGCCAGAATGCCAAATCACCCTGACAATTGCATTTCATGTAGTTATCAGCCCTTCTCCTTTTTAAAATACATCTTTCTGACAGCAGCCCACAGCTAGTATTTCCTTTTCAGTCTCTGAAGTGCAGAGCACTACAAATACATCATTTAGCTTTGCTGCAGTCCTTTCTGTCCCTTTGATCATCTCCTTTACACCCTTCTGCATTTCTGCTTCATTCCCGCATGTGCAGTACATCAAAAAAGAGCTTTGCAGCAAGAACCTTGGGCTCTTCAAGGTGGGTCTTTCAGGGACAGAATCTGGTGGAAAGCAGCACAAACACCACTGAAGCCAGCAGCATTACTGTATTTGAACTAGCTAAAATTTTGACCCCAGCTCTTATATGCCTTATAATTCAACTAAAGCTTTAAAATTATCTTATTGGAGCCCTGACTGCTGGCTCTGAAATGTCCTTGCAGCAGTGTTAAACTTGATTGCAGTCCGCTACTCTGTGACTCAAGGAGTAAACCATGAATGACGACGCTCCTTTTCTTCCTTCCATGCTTAATGTCCTCTTACAAAATGTTTATGATGCTAAGAAACAGTTTTTCTAATAGTACCTAGACTGGACAGTTGCTTCTTGCATTTTACAAATTTAAACCACCACCCCTTGCATTTGGCTGGCTGTTAGCTGAACATTTTTGCATATATTTACAAAACCTAATTATAAAGTATTTTACCTCTTTCAAATGCTTTAAAACCAAGCAATTTCATAGTATTACCATGTCACAAGTATGGATTTCCCCAGCTCAGAGACTGCCAGTGAATGAACTTGGGAAAGGCTGCAGAGAAGGCAGAATTAGGCATGGGGTAATGGGCAATCCTGGCTCTTGGTGTGAACTTTCCATGCTCCAGCCAGCTTCTGGGAAACAATTTCTGTCTCGGTCTGGTGTTGCACTGCCTCAGTACTGCTTCCTTCTCTCTTTGCAAAGAAATCACTGCTGTTTCCAAAAAAAGAAGAAGAAAAAAAAGGCTTCAGTGGAGCAGATACCTTGGTGAGTAACAGTGCAGACAGTAACTAGCCCTAAAACTTCACAGAGAAGCATCACTGAAATCTACCTCAAAATCTACAGTTTTAATGCAGGTTTTAAAACCACAGAAACTTTGGTCTATGTCCATGTGGAACAGCTTACGTTGCTCAGGCACCACTTTCAATTTTGACTACTGAAGAAATAAAAAAGTAAACCAGCTCCACGACAACCAGCACATAAGTGAGCAAACTGCCCAATGGCGCCTCAGTAAAGCTCCTTCCTCTCCTCTCGCTGCACGTTGAAGGTCGCCTGTTTTAGATAAGCACACAAAGTCATCAAAAGAAAGATTAATTTCAAAGCTTGTTAACATTTTTCTCCTTTTTTTGGAATGTCTGTGAGAACTGAGAGCCAGACTAATAAACTAACCAAGAAAGTACAAAGTGTTCACCCTGCCCAAAATGAAAATGCCTAAAATTTTTCCCCTCCTTCCTCCCTCCCCTCCCACAGCTCTGCCGGTGACGCCTCCCCTGGGCCAGCATTACCTAACTTTCACACAAACACGCACTTCCCATAAGCATCAACTTCAAACAGCTCTGGCTTTCTGTCTGATCACATCTCGCTTTAGGAGAGCAAAGAGCTACTACAGAGGGATTCGCCAGCAGCTCTGTAAGGTAACCAACTTGTTGGATTTTTACTTTTCATTTGTAATGCCTGACTAGTGGTTACGTAGATGGACCAAAAAAAAAAGCCTCCTGGCAGGCTGTCTTGCTGGAATTTATAGTAGAAGAAAACCCTCAATAAGAACTCAAAACTAGACTAAATAACACTTTGGCTTACTTGCTTCCTGCAGGGGAAAAGAGGCAGTTCTTCAGACCAAGATCTAGTGTGAAATATAAAATCACTACTACTTCTTTTAGTCATGAGTGTCAGTTGTTTGCACTGAAACATGCATACGCATTCTGATTCGGTTTCAGTTCATCACATCAGACAGATTTAGAAAGCAGCAGTCCACCGGGACCATGCTCCAGCTGTTTTGCTCGGCCCTGCCACAGCCTGCATGCCTTTCACTCCAGCCATACAGCTGCTGCTGCTGCAAAAATATAAAAAATAGCCCTTAATTCTTTGTAGGTTCTTGTACCCTTTGCAGGCTTCGGACTGCCAAGATGCTTCTGCTGCTTTGTCTGGTGATTGGGCTTGCCCTGCCTGCCATGGCAGACAAAGATCCGAGCCAAGAGCCACTCCATGACATACAGAAAAAAGTGAATGACCTTTGGCAGAACTTGCTGTCTCCAGCAATGCCTGGTAATGAAACTGATGGGATGATTTACGCCACTTGTGAGATGAAGCCCAGCTCCAAAATAGATGCTGACAAGCCACAGGTGACTGGACAAGTCTTATTCAAACAGTGTTACTCCTATGGAAGATTAGAAGCCATATTTTACTTGGACGGGTTTCCGCTGGATAGTAACCAGTCTGGTAGAGCTATACACATCCACGAGCTTGGGGACCTCAGCAACGGCTGTGAATCTACGAGAGGACACTATAACCCTTTCAGCGTGAATCACCCCCGTCACCCAGGCGATTTCGGCAACTTTTTTCCTAAAGAAGGCAAAATCAGAAAATACAAAACGAATCTCTCTGCCACTATGTTTGGTCCATACTCCATCATGGGCAGATCTGTTGTGATCCATGAGCAGGAAGACGATATGGGCAAGGGCAACAATAAGGCCAGTTTGGAAAACGGAAATGCTGGGAAACGCCTGGCTTGCTGCGTGATTGGGATATGCAACAAGAACCTGTGGGAAGAGAAACTCTCCGAGGTTACAGACAAGAAGAAGAGAGGACTCAAACAACGAGCATAGCGTGAAGACCAACGAGCTGGCCTAGGCAGCACAGAGTGCCTGAGGCTGTGCCACTGGGCCACCAAGATACACGGCTGCGGCATTCCCATTTCCATTTGCTTGCTCCTCTAAGAAGTGCGTATCACTCTGTAGAGCTTTCTTTCTGTAAGCCCATCAATAAAACCAGCATCAACTCAATGCTGTGATGTGTTTTCTTGAAGAGAGAAGGTTTCCTTTTGTGCAGTTTGGGAGTTGAATGTGTGTAAGAAAGAGTGCTAATGGATATGGTTGATAGGTCTGTAAAGAGTTTGCATGCTGTAAGGGGCTCTTAAGGGATCATAAATAACATACCAAAGACAAAAAAAAGCAAGTAAGAAAGAAATTTCCTCTCATTAGATGCTATCCTGTACTTAGCTGCAAATCTGAAAGGTAAAAAGATCTCTATGCTTTCAACAGTCCTGGGTGTTGTGTTGCAAGACTTGGATAATGGACTTCCCCTAAAAATAAGGGAAAGTACAGACATTTCAGTATTAACTTTAGATCCTTTACATCATTCTACTTGTCTTTTTCAGGTCTTATTCCCAAATGCGTATGAGCTTCTTAACTATTTTAAATTGTCCACATGGCTGTAGCTGAGTCACACTGTTTACATCTGAAAGCAAACTTAAATACTCCAGTTTACCATCACTCCCCAGCAAAAATTCCCCAAAGCCTCAAGTCTGTGCCTGTTAGCAACTAGTTTGTATACAAAAGTTTTAATGCTGCTTAGACAATGACGATAAAGTTGGCAGAACAGAGATAAATATTATTTTCAAAGCCAAAAAATACTGAGTGTGGTTTTTTTCATACCAAACTGTTGGAAGTAAACCAGTCAATTTAGACTGGGAGCAGCGACAGAGAAAAGATTTGAGTCAGATAATTTTCAAGTTTAAAACTCTCGCTCAATAAAGCTTTACTTTTTTAATTTAACACAACTCATTGAAAATACTGAAACACTACCTCATTACTATCATTCATCTGATACCGAGAAGAAAAAAGGAAACAAGCAGGTAGAACAAGCATATCAGGAAATGTTTTTATTAAAGATGACAAAATGCATTAATATAGTTGAACTATATTGTGCAGTTAATCCAACAGCAACAAAAGAGGTTTGCAAATAAATTAAACTGCATAATTTAGAAAGTAAAACTACAAACCAGAAGCTGGTAAACAAAATCTTATCTTTTAGAAATGTAGCAGACTTTCAACTTAATCTCAGTTAAGATTTTGAAATACATTCCTGAGCTCATATGGATTAAAGAAATTCCACTGTCTTTATTATACAAATTCCCATATGCTTAAAAATAGTCTCACTTAGAAAAGCAGCAGCATTCTAAAAGATGCTTCTTAATCTGTCATTTTCACACGCTTATTTTACAAATTCAGTGAACGCTGTTTTTCAAATAACCACGACGTCGTACTTTCAAATGAAATCCTTCTCACAGATAACACATGAATTCACTTTTAGGTGACACAACCTCCTTAAAATCAATTTACAAAATGCATCTTCTCCATACCCCTGCCACAACATTCCCTTCCCAGTTTGCTTCTCCAGTGCCCAGCACCAAAAGGGCTTATACGTCTGGATGCAATTTCTGCATTCCTAAAGTCTAATACAAGTCTAAAAAAAAACCAAAACCCAACCAAAAAACCAAAACCCAACCAAAACTAACTCGCCCCCCAGTACTGTTGATTCCACAGCAAAGCACCAATTGATTGACTGGGGAAAAAATATCATTGTTCTAATAGCACAAGAATATCACTTAAAGCAATATCCAAGGAGGATACTGAGGACATTCAATGAGTTACCAGGTAATGCAGCAAAGATGCCTTACTTTTACAAGCCTCCTGGCTTTGAAGTCTTGTGATCCTGGGAGAAGGCTACAACTGGGGCCATTTACACATTCACTACGGCAGAGGGGAGAGGGTCAGTATTGCAGCAGTGATACAGCACTAAAAGTGAGATTTCCGGAGATCTAGACATCTCACTGTAATTTAATGACTGCAAAGATATAAAAACGGCATCTAAGAGAGAGAATGGTGTGAGGATAATTACCAACATGTCCTAATTGTTGGGCTGTGCATCACTATGTTCTCACAGAAAAAGCACACTAAAAGGAATCAACAAATGAGGCACTAAAAAAGCTGTTGGTCCAGCACTGCTTCTACCTGCTCTCATTTTTACACCAAGCTCTTCATTAATTACACAGCATTAAATGGCTGTTAAGGGACCAGGAGCAAATGCCAACTCACACAACTGTGGGTCAGGAAAGACACAGGACAGGGAAACAACAACCAAAAAAACCTCTGAACATTTCAGAGCTCAGCTACGTGAAATCTTGACCTTCTTACTCGCTTGTCTCAGTTCTGACTGTATTGATATTTAGCTCTGCGCAGGATTAGTCTGTGAAAGATGGAAAAGAATATGTCTTGAATAAAATGCTACTTTATATGACATTCAAGCATTAAAGGAAAAAATCCTGCCATATTCTCCCAGAGATTTCAGTTTCTGCAGCTATTTCTCTTCTGACTTGTCAGTCCTGTCATATAAATGAGTCAATAATGCAGTCAGTTACAATTAATGGGAAGAGCATCACAATCTTTCAAATACTTAAATTCTACTTGGATTTTCAGGTGGCGAGGAACTTAAATGGTGATCAGGATAATGAAGGAAAATTTTTTTACTGCTTCATGTTCCTAACATGCTTAAATATACAAATGGTTTTTGTTCCTAAGGGCTGCTGCTTAATATCAGTGAAATGCTGCAATGTCAAATTACCTTTAAAGAGAAAGGAAACATATTTGAGGAGCTCTGTGAGTGTGGCTTTACTGCCTGCAGACAGACACTGAAAGGGTTACACGAATGCACCTGCTAGGGAAAACACATGAGAACAGAGACAAGCCACATTTTTCACCTTCCCACTATCATTCCTTATATTTATATGTAATCATTTACATACAGCCTTTCTTCTGCTGAATACAAACTGTTCATGGACTCTGACACCTTGATTATGGCAGCACCTGCTAGCTCATCTTCCACATACAGAGGAGTTTGTCAGTATTGCTAATAGAAACTCTGTTTATTCAGTAGCTGACAAGTGGGCTGTAAAAATTTGCAGCTGGCAGTTATTTGTCAAAGGAGGACTCAATCTGGGAGGGATTTTCCTTTTTATTAGTAGTATTTTATTAAATTTGGTTTAATTCTCTCTGATTGGTTTCAAGTTCTAAGAGTGAGAAATGAACATTTACAGACAATTAGGTCCCAAGCCAGCAGAAAAATTGCCTTGACGGCTGCTGGCCCATAGAAGCTCCACAGCTGCAGAGACTATTCCTTATGCTACAAGCAGGAGAGGAAGGACGTGCCTCCCCTTCTCCAGCAGCTGCTAACTTCAACGCTAAGTATTCCCTTGTTGCTGCCTTCCTAGGAGCAGAGTGGCACAGCTCCAGCATCAGGAGCAAGTGAGGGAATGACACAGCAGCCTCCCTTTTCCCCAGTTATTACAGGAATGTTTTCCTATGACTAAACATCAACACGGGAAGAAGTTTAAGAAAGCAGCAATAATGCAAATAAACCGTATACTACACCACAGTGAAACAAGGAGGAAAGAAATAGTTATTCTTAATTTCAAAACATAAGAAAACAAAAAGATGCAGATTCCTTCAAAAATGAGGGCGCAGATGGAGCAGGCTGCAATCTACCACCCATCACTCAGCGCGGGGGCTGCTCCAGCACCTGTACGTTGAGGAATGCAATTCCAATAACTGAGAGAGCCAAGCAGGCGGACACAGCATCACTGGTTCTCCTCTTGCTGTTCTCCCTGCTCTGGAACAGCATTGCTGCTTCTTACAGAAAGACTTCTGACCTCTCTGATGATGTTTCTTCCAGAGCTTCATTAAATTGGGTTCTCAGTGTCTGGTGAAATAACTCCCTGCATTTTCAGGAGATGAGCTGGGAGAGGAAAGGAAAAATTTTGTACAGTTGAGAAGATACAAAGGCTTGAAATGACAGAACTATATACATGCAGAAATGGTTTTCAGAAACTTCCTACAAAGGAACAGTGATTTTATTCTAAGGATGTATGTACAGTCACTATAAGTAAAGAGAAATAGAATGCAGTCTAAGAAACAAGCAAAAGCTTGCAACCTTAAGATGCTTCTCAAAATTTATCACTCCAGATTTTACATCCTTGGAAGAAACTTCTAACCATTAAGATACAGTCCAGCACCAGGACCATGCATGTTACAGAAGCCTAGCAGTAACATGATAAATCATTATCACTGGTTTCTTTGCTACACTAATGTAAATTACATCAATTTATGTAGAAACTTCAAGTCATCCAAAGAACCAACATGATTTAACCTCATCAGCTTCAAATTCTGTCCCTTAGGTAGTTTACATTTTTGGTAGACTGTAGCTCAAAACTAGCAGAAAAACACCTTTATTAGGCAAATATCAAAGGATTGATGTAAAAGTCAGCCCTATGGCACACTGTTTCACTGATCATGTTTGCAGCAGCATAGACATTGCAAAAGGATTACAGTGAGATGCTCGAGGGCCTGGATTTCATACCTCCAGCCAAACTGTTATCCAAATAT